AGATGCTTTTTTTCCGGCTTTTCCCCAAGCCGGAAAAAAAGCGGCGGACATGTTTATTTAAATCCGTGGGGGATATTTAAATCCCCCGCGGATTTCCCTATTCCCACTTTCAAAATTAGCATGCCCCTTCCGAAAAAGGGGCCAGTGTAGACGTAGCCTTACAGTATGGGATTGGTGGCTTATGGATCACTATGAAGACAGCAAATTTGGTGCAGTGCAGTTCACAGAAGATATGGTCCATGTATAGACGGACAAGAGCAAACGGAAGTTTCTCTCACTTGGCTCAATTTTTAATATAGGTTGAACCTCTCTGGTCAGGCATTCTCTGGTCCGGCAACATCTGTGGTCCAGTGTGATTTTAGTTAGTCGGATGTAATGTAGTTAGTCATGGGTGTAACCGTGTTTCCTGCAGTCCCATAAAGTTTGTTTACAGCCACCAGTCCTGGCTCTCAGTGTTCTGTTCTGTTATTTAGCTCTAATTTACCCCTAAATGTCTTCTAAGTAAGCAGTGGAAGTGCTGGTAATGCTGCTAGACAATATTGACTTTCTGGGGTTTGGCAAATTCCCTGATTTGGCACCCGTCAGGTCCCAAGGGGGCCAGACTGGAGAGGTTAAACCTGTATAAAAAAATTTCCTGTAACACATCCCTGTTGTCTTCTACTTTACAATGCTCGTATAAACTCTCCTGCCAATTCTGAATGAAATTTTTTAACTTTCCCAGCCTACTTGTTTCCAAGTTCTTACGTTAGGACTTCTTTACTCCCATTCCAGGCATTTTTAATCAACTGAGCAACACACGGAGCACCACAGATCTTACATCTGTCCTGACCAGACATTTTCTTTAACAACAGATGGTTTGCAAACACACTCTTTGGCCTGGATCCTCACAGAGAGCTGTGCACAGCAGGGACTCCCCACATGCAAATCAACTCCTGCTTGCATGGAAGGTGGGCTCAGTCTCTTTTACTGCACTATCTCTCTCCATCAAGACCTTGCAAAGGCAGCCTCTGTATCCAGAATCTGCACTGGGAGAAGAGGTCTGAAGGTGTTTTAAAAAAGCATTACCCTCCTCCGATGAGCAGAAATTATGTTTTATCTGTTTCCATACGATCCCTTCTGCAGACCTCAGAAGGGACTGTGGCCAGGGGGATCTCTTGGTATCCAGGGACATAAGGAGTAAACCAGTGGAGGCCAGAGCCAATGCAGAAGCACATGGACTTTGTGACTGGCCTTGGCCCCCAGTAGGTTCCTCATGATCTGTAATGGGGGAAAAATTGGAGGGTTTCCCTGCCAACCATGGAAAGAGGTGAGTGATGCCTCATATTGTACAGTGAGGGATACATTTATTTATTTGAGTTAGAGAGATATCTTTGAAGTGATCTTCCAAGATCACATGGCCCTTGGTAATTCTGGTTTTTTACCCAAAATGTATTGCCCACTCAGAGTTTAAACTAAGATCCCACTGCACCTTCCAACAAGGCTAGCCTGGCCAACTCCTGTAGAACCCAAATGCAACTAGAATAAGGTCCTTCACTGTTTTTGGATACATACATGCAAGGGTCAGAAGGGACCATTGTGATCATCTAATGCAGCACAGGCCTTTGAAATTCCCCCAAAAAAGTTCCCAGAGCAGATCTTTTAGTAAAATCTCCAATCTTGATTTTAAAATGGCCAGTGATAACGAATCCACATGACTCTTAATTAGCTGTTCCAAGGGTTAATGACCTTTACTATTAAAAATGTACACATTATTTCCAGACTGAATTTGTCCAGCTTCAACTTCCAGCTACTGGATCATGTTAGATCTTTCTTTCTTAGGATTGTAGAGCCATTGACGACTATTTGTTCCCCAGGATGGTAGATGTTGAATCTGTTATCAAGTCACCCTTCAACTTTCTCTTAAACGTAAATAGATTGAGTTCCTTGAGTCTCTCATTGTAAGGCATGTTTTAAAATCTTTCAGTCATTCTCCTAGCTGTTCCCTGAAATCAATCCATTTTTTCAACATCACTTTTGAACTAGGGGCATCAGAAGTTGATATAGTATTTCAACAACAGTGGCATGAATACCAAATACAAAAAGGCAAAATAACCTCCCTACTCTAACCCGAGATTTCCCTATTTATGAATCCTGGTGTTGCATTATTAGCCCTTTTGGCCACAGCCACTAACTGGAAGCTCTTGTTCAGATGGTTATCCATCATGATCCCCAAATCTTTTTCAGACTCAATGTTTCCCAGGATAGAGTGCCTCATCCTGTAACATGATCTACACTCTTTATTCCCAAATGTATACATTTACATTTAGTGATATCAAAACACAGTTTGCTTCTGCCCCGCTTCTCATGAGATCCAGATCACTCTGAATCAGTGACCTGTCCTCTGTGTTATTTACAACTTCCTGGTTTTTGTGTCATCTGCCAAACTCTATTAGTGAAAATTTTTATGTTTTCTTCTAGGACTTTGATACAAAATATTAAACAACATATGGATAAGAATGGATCCCAACTGGACCCTACTAGAAACTCACTTACTTGACGTGCATTCCCCATTTACAATTACAGTTTTAAACTATCAGGCAGTTTTTAATAAATTTAATGTAGGTCACGTTAATTTTATATTATTCTAGTTTTTTAATCAAAATTGTGTGATACAAAATCAAATGCCTTACAGAAGTCTAAATACACTGAATCAATAAAACTTGTAATATCAGATTTTAAATTAGTTTGACAGAATACATTTTACATAAACTCATACTGATGGGTATTAATTATATTATCATCCTTTAATTCTTAATTAATGGATTCCCATATTAGCGGCTCCATTATCCTGCTTGGGATTCATATCAGACTGACACTCCTATAATTACCAGGATGTATCCTTTTTAAATCCTGCATGACATTAGCATTCTTTCAGTTTTCTGGAACTTCTCAAATGTCCAAGACTTATTAAAAATGAACATTAATGATCCAGCTAACTCCTCAGCAAGCTCTTGGGTGCAGTTTATATGGATCTGTTGATTTTAAAATGTCTACGTTTATTACAGTAGTTGTTTTTCAACATCTTCCTGATTGGAAACAGTGTTATCATCAATCATATGACTTCATCATCTATTTTTTCCCAAACAGAAATGTTTATTGAACACTTCTGCCATTCCTGCATTATTATTATTAATTCTACCATTTCCATCTAGTACTGTACAATATCTTTATGGTGATTCCTTTTGTTCCTTATTACTTTAAAAACTACTCCTGATTGCCTTTAACCCTACTGGCCACAGATTTCTTTGTGTACTTTTGCAGCCATTATCAATTTTCTACCCTTCTTAGCTTGATTTATAGTCATTAGTATTAACTGCCCCTTTCTTCCATTGTTACATTTTTAATAGCTGCATTCACTTCTTCTCTAAACAAAGTTGGTTTTCTAATATGAAACAAAAGTCAGGACTATGCAGTACTTTAAAGACTAACAAGATGGTTTATTAGGTGATAAGCTTTCGTTTCAGCTAGACCCGACTAACACAGCTGCATCTCTATCACGATTTTCTAATATGGCCTTCTTCCTTGATTGTGGCTTTTTGAGCATCTAGTAAAGTGCTCTTAATCAATTTCCAATTATCACTCACATTTTTCTGCTTGTATTATTTCTCCCAGATGATTTACCTCACAATTGTTTACAGCTTGTGAAATTTTGAAGTGCCAAGTTTCATGGGAAAATGTAATGAAGTTATTACATTACTGAATGAATTAAAGGAATTACTATACATAACAATTCCCTTCCATTTATTCTATGTACTATGCCCGGGTCTATAGTTTGTTTTCATAATCTCTGTTCTAAAAACAGATATTGAAGGCCATTATGGTATGATGCTTCCCCATCTAATAAGAACATAAGAATGGCCATTCTGAGTCAGACCAAAGGTCCATCTAGCCCAGTATCCTGTCTGCCGACAGTGGCCAGTGCCAGGTGCCCCAGAGGGGGTGTACCGAAGACAATGATCAAGCAATTTGTCTCCTGTCATCCTTCTCCGGCCTCTGACAAACAGAGGCCAGGGGCACCACTCCTTACCCCCTGCCTAAATAGCCTTTTATGGACCTAACCTCCATGAATTTATCTAGCTCTTTTTTAAACTCTGTTATAGTCCTAGCCTTCACAGCCTCCTCTGGTAAGGAGTTCCTCAGGTTGACTGTGCGCTGTGTGAAGAAGAACTTTTTGTTATTTGTCCTAAACCTGCTGCCCATTAATTTCATTTGGTGTCCTCTAGTTCTTACATTATGGGAACAAGTAAATAACTTTTCTTTATTCACCCTCTCCACACCACTCATGATTTTATATACCTCTATCATATCCTCCCTCAGTCTCCTCTTTTCTAAATTGAAAAGTCCCAGTCTCTTCAGCCTCTCCTCACATGGGACCCATTCCGAACCTCTGATCATTTTAGTTGCTCTTTTCTGAACCTTTTCTAATGCCAAAATATCTTTTTTGAGGTGAGGAGACCATATCTGTACGCAGTATTCAAGATGTGGGAGTACTATAGTTTTATATAAGGGCAGTAAGATATTCATTGTCTTATTTTCTATCCCTTTTTAAATAATTCCTAGCTTCTTATTTGCTTTTTTGACTGCCGCTGCACACTGTGAACTATCCACGATAACTCCAAGATCTCTTTCCTGATTAGTTGTAGCTAAATTAGCTCCCATCATATTGTATGTATAGTTGGGCTTATTTTTTTCATCGTGCATTACTTTACACTTATCCACATTAAATTTCATTTGCCATTTTGTTGCCCTGTCACTCAGTTTGGTGAGATCTTTTTGAAGTTCTTCACAGTCTGCTTTGGTCTTGACTATCTTAAACAGTTTAGTATCGTCCGCAAACTTTGCCACCTCACTGCTTACCCTTTTCTCTAGATCATTTATGAATAAGCTGAATTATAATAATAATCTCCTTCATTACCATTCCTTTCAGTTGTAATAACAGATGCAAGTGAAAAAGCAATTACAAAAGAAATTTATTCTTAAGTCTGGCATCAAGCTTTATGGGGTAAGAACAGTTTTTTACAAGTCAACCAAGGAGCATAAAAAGTGCCCAAATGTTTGCAACACTGAGAAAACAAACACTCTAAAAATAGATGAGAAATACCTTTTGAAATAATGTATTAATCAAGCAAGATCTCTAAACCTTACCTAACCTTAACCCTAGACAGACCTTTAGCAAGAACACATCACAGAATTCCATCACAATAATCCTCCATTTTCTGAGTGTCTTTTCAAATTTTCTAGTGTCTAATGGTGTTCTACTTTTAGTACAGGTTTTTAGGTCATCAGATAGGTGGCTTTGTTTCTAAGATGTCCTTACCTTTGTGTCTCACACAGTAAAAATCTCAAGGTAACAATTTCATTTTATAGAACGATATACTTTCTCACCATTATCAGTTATAACTAGAGCACACTCCAATAGTGGTCATTGTAAATATTACTTATCTTAGTATACAATAGGTTTCAACCAAGTCCTAGGCCATACGGTTTATAAACTGCATTTAGTTGATGGCACCGATACACTGTTCCCTAATTTTAACAGAACATTTTTTAAAAAATCCTTTCTGCCTGAAGGGTATTTTCTTTAAACACAAGATATATACTTCAATTCCAGCTGTGGGAAAGAAAAAAATGTACCGACATTTTAGCCATTTTTCCTGCAGTGAAAAAATACACAAATAATTTTGTGCTTTGTAGTATTCAATTTTGTGTCATTGTTCGTGAATTTTAATAATAATAAGAAGAATTACCAAAGAGAACAGGACTACCTGTTGAAGAAGAGTTAAACTTTAAAAAGTGGTTCTTTCTAGACAAAACTAGAATAATTTTAAAATCAAGTTTTAAGTAGATTTGAAATAGTCTTAAAGTTAGAATTACAGGCACCACTTTTGTGCCCCCTAGTGTTTGTGTTTTGCAGTCATTTTTATTTGCTGGGTATATATAATTTCTACTTTTGTATCAATGGTTGTACTGTCCCATGTTATTTTAAAAGGCACATATGCACACTAGATTTTTCTGGGTCTTTTTCTATTTTCACTTATTAAATAATATTATAATAATCTGATTAATATGTTTCTTTACGAAACAGCATTTTGCCATACTCTATGGGCTCGTCTACATTGGCCCCTTTTCCGGAAGGGGCATGTTAATTTCAGAGATCGTAATAGGGAAATCCGCGGGGGATTTAAATATCCCCCGCGGCATTTAAATAAAAATGTCCGCCACTTTTTTCCGGCTTTTAGAAAAGCCGGAAAAGAGCGTCTACACTGGCCCCGATCCTCCGGAAAAAGTGCCCTTTTCCGGAGGATCTTATTCCTACTTCAAAGACGCTTTTCTAAAAGCCGGAAAAAAGCGGCGGACATTTTTATTTAAATGCCGCGGGGGATATTTAAATCCCCCGCGGATTTCCCTATTACGATCTCTGAAATTAACATGCCCCTTCCGGAAAAGGGGCCAGTGTAGACGTAGCCTATAGGTGCCACAGAATTATATTTATGATATGTTATAAATACATCACACATTTATTTTAGCATCACTAATGGTATATATTACTATACCTGAGCTCTCAAAAACTTACCTCATCATCATCCATTATGTGCTGCTTTGCAAATTCATACATTTCTGTCTGAAGTGTGGTTATGTTGTAGTAGCGAACTGCTTCCTATTGGAACAAAATTTCCAGATTCTTTTTAGGGCAATAAATCATTATGAACATATTTCTGAAAGTCTCCCAAAGTGTCAGACATCACTTGTTACCAGAGTGGCCAATAGCCTTGCTGGGCTCCTGAGCAACATGGGCGGAGGGAGGGAACTCCAGGCCCTGGAGGGGTGGGATCTTGGAAGGGGCAGGGCTGGAGCTAGCCTCCCAGTGCGCCTCACAGCACAGTAGCAGTGGCCAGGAGCCCCTGGGCCTTTGAAATCACCAGGGTCTGGGACAGCTGGTTCCTTCTTCCCCACCCACTGGCATGCCTGTCTATGACTATTCTACCAAAGCAAGCTCCAAACTCAATATTTCTCTGTTAATTTCAGGACTGCCCCATGTTTGTGAAAGGAAGATGGAAGCAACAAATGAACAAATACAGTGAAACCAGGGGTGATGGGTGCTGTGGTGCCTGCTGCAAAGCTGGTTCCTGTGCCTATGCATGTTGAGGTACAATGCACTACAAGTGGTAGCTGAACATCATACTTTATCTTATAGTAAACAGATGCTATATTTCTCCTGACTCTAACATGCACATTTTCACATCAAAAGCTACGAACGGGACATATCCAGCCCACTTAATTAGCCATATTTACATGGGTCCTACAATAGACAGGAACTTCTACTGTTTTATATTATATATATATTGTTTTCTGTTATTTCTATTCCAATTCATCTGATGATGTGGTTTTGCCCATGAAAGCTCATGATTCTATATATTTTTGTCAGTCTCTAAGGTGCCACAGGACTACTCGTTGTTCTTAAAGTTGCCCCATTTGTTGGCATTACTATCTACAATGCTTGACCCATGTCACCTTTTTGGGAAGGGTAACAGTAGAAACAGCCTTCACGAGCTAGGAGTGATCTATTGACAAGAAGTAAGTGAGAAACAAGAGTCTCAATATTATTAATGTGCCACATAGATCTAGAGACTGCCAGACTTCAGTGACTGGTTAGGTAGCCCATGCAGGCAGCAAGAATAAACATAAGGTGGTGAACGGGCATGTTTGATCTCTCAGTAAATTAATGTGTACCTCAGCATGCTCCAGGGCAGAGGGAGCAATTATAAAACCCCTTCCCTCCACATCTAGGCCATATCTCTGTATGGTTCTTGTAAGTGAACTACGTTTGACACAAATGCCTCCAACAATTCTCCTTTGCCATAACTTCCACTCTCTTGGATTCAATGGTAATATTAGGAGACATCTTGCATGCAATTTACCCACTCAACTTACTGGTCTGGGCTGAAAATCTTCCTCTGTGAGTCCCCATTTGTCTTTGTGGTATTGATAACATATCTCTGTATGGTTCTTGTAAGTGAACTACGTTTGACACAAATGCCTCCAACAATTCTCCTTTGCCATAACTTCCACTCTCTTGGATTCAATGGTAATATTAGGAGACATCTTGCATGCAATTTACCCACTCAACTTACTGGTCTGGGCTGAAAATCTTCCTCTGTGAGTCCCCATTTGTCTTTGTGGTATTGATAATAGACCATGTTCTGTTTCATTACTTCATCTTTCTGGTCGAAGAGCATATAGCTAGCAACACAAGGGGCTGCATTCTTCATGTCATTCACTGAATTAACAAAACAAACAGAAGCCTGAAGGAAAGGCAAATAAGCAACAACCCACATTTCCTTTTATTATTCATACTCAGGAAATTCAGGTGGTGACAAGTGCAACATTCCTCCTAAACTTCATGACTCTATAAAATATCCCCCCCCTGAAATACCTTACTTTAAAACAACAACAAAGTCCCCATCCTGACCTACTCTGAAAAGCTTGTACATTTACCTGGCTATAACTTTGCCCAAGTAACAGGATGAATGAATTGTATTACTCAGAAGTTATATCATGAGATAACAATACCCAAGGTATGCTCAAAAGAGCCCACTTCTTAACCATGGAGACTGTTTAAAAGATTTCCAATTCTCTCACCATAAAAATGCAACAGATAATCTTATATCAAAATTCACCATCAATACACAGAAAAACTTAGCCATAATTAAGAAGATGCAGGACAAACAAAAAGGGAGAAGGCTAATCAAACAGCACCCACAAGAGACCCCACCTCAAGCCTGAATTTTACTCTCTGATGGGAGTCAGATTAGCTAGGCATGCATCCAGTGGCAGAATGTGGCTTTTACAATGCTGGTCTACTCCTAAAAAGACAGTAACAAATTCTTAATTATCTTATCAAATGTGTTCCTTCTAACTGAGAGAGTACATGATGGCAGTTTTCAAGTACCTAAAAAGGTGTTGCAAGAAGGAGGAGAAAAATTGTTCTTCTTGACCTCTGATGATAAGAGCAATGGGTTAAATTGCACCAAGGGAGGTTTAGGTTGGACATTAGGAAAAACTTCCTAACTGTCAGGGTGGTTAAACACTGGAATAAATTGCCCAGGGAGGTTGTGGAATCTCTATCATTGGAGATATTTAAGAACAAGTTAGAGAGGCATCCATCAGGAAAGATCTAGAAAGTCTAGATGGTGCTTGGTCCTGCTGTGAGGGCAGGGACTGAACTTGATGATCTCTCAAGGTCCCTTCCAGTTCTAGTGTTCTATCATTCTATAACTGCCAGCCTTTCAACCTCAATCTGGTCTCTGAAACGCAAGCTGGGCTCTTTCCTTTTGTGACGAGGTGTGTACCTCACACAGATAAGGGATGGATTAATGTGGGCTTGAGAAGTCAGTTATATTACCCGGTTGCATTTGAAAAATGGGCCAGGCTTAATTAAAGATGAAGCTCAGCTGCAGAAGGAGCCAGTCATGGTGACTATAAAAGAGGCACAGCTTAGAAGGAGACTGAAGTCCCTTTCTTGATTTCAGACACTGGAGAGACCAGACAGATCACAGGTGAAAGTCAAGGGAAGAGTGAGCCCAGGGACCTCTCCCAAATAAAGTCCAGTAAGAGATAGAAAAGATACAGAGCAGACATCAGGCTGGGGCCAGCTCTAGTAAAGAGGCCTGATAAAAAAAAAAAGCAGGATTTGAACTTCCACAGAGAGGCCCACATCGTGCCCTGCTAAAGAGCAGAGAGATTTGGAAAGCCACACATGAAGAGGGCAGAAGGTGGCTTAAGTTGGTATTTTTAGCTTGGGGATTTTATGATTTGATTCTAGGATGGAGGAAAGAGTCGTGCAAGTCCTGGTCCTGAGAGAAGGGTAAACCTGCAGAAGCCTGCTGACTATGATAAAAAGCAGTGAGGCAGCAGCAAAGAATCTGATTCAGCAGATCTTGGCTGCTGGTTACAAACAAGGCCCCTGGAACAGAGCCGTAACAAGGGTGGGGCAAGTGGGGCACTTGCCCCACGCGCAGTATATTTAGGGGTGCAAAATTAAAAATTAGAAAGTTAAAAATATTATTTCACTTATATCTTTGCTATCATCTATTTGCAATCTCAATATATGTGCAATTAGCAACATGTGCAATGAATAAAATTAATACAAAAAAATTAAGAATTTTATCATTTTGGGGGGCCGGCAGAGGGAAGGGGGCGCAGTTCAGTAGCTTGCCCCGGGTGCAGAAAACCTACATTTTGGGGGGCCGGCGGAGGGAAGGGGGCGCTGTTCAGTAGCTTGCCCCGGGTGCAGAAAACCTTAGTTTTGGCTATGCCCTGGAATGAAATTCAGTACAGTGGAAAGGCCTGAGTTCCTTAACCAGCTTCTGGAGAAAGTGGCAAAAAGCCCCTGACAACCTTAAGAGAAGGTGGTGAGGATTACAGGGGCCCAGTTGAGGTTAAAGCCTTTCTGTAAGGATCCTTGGCATTTTCCACTGGATTTCGCTACTCTGGAAATAGTGCGACCAAAGCATTACCTGGCCAGAGGGCTGAATCACAAGAGGCAGACATCTACAAGGCCAGAGTGGCTGTCAGCAATGAGAGCGAGAGGAGAAGCCTGCTATACCATGCCTAGCCATGAGGGGGCACACCACAGTGAATCAATCCTTTTTTACATATGCACAGCAGTAAAAGTTCAGATGGTCAATTTAGGTTTTGTTATATTCCTTCAGAGGGATGCAAAGGTGTAATTGATTGGAAATTAGTAAATAATTATCTGAACAAGGAACGGAACATAGCTCAGTCTCCTCAGCTGTTTTGTCTCTACAAGGTTGGCAGAAATTTAAAAAAAGGCATGGAAAATCTTCTAGTCATTGCAGTCAGCACATGTGATTCTGAACACATTTAAGGAGCAGATCTGCGAGAAAGAAAGGGCAATGTTCAAAGCCATTTTTCAGAATATAAGTGCACTTTATGAACTAAGAGGTAGTCACAGAGTCATCCAAAGGAAAGTGTGCAAGAAAGCTTCCATTCACAATTGTGGCCATATCAGGAGTTCCCATAGCAAGTACACGTTATGAATACCTTGTTTGCCCAAACCCATTTCTAAAAACTATCATTTCTAACACACAGTTTGCAATTATAGCTCCCTCTTTATGCACAGGTTCCCTCTTTATGCATGTCCCCGTTCTAGTCAGATGAATCAAGTCCTACTATGAAAAGAAATACATATGAAATAGTTGTAGTCCTGTGTGGTGAAAAAAATACTACCTATAAAATTTATTTTCAATAGTTTGCATTTTATGTGAGGAATTGCCTCAGTCATAATTTCTCTTCTTCCTAGATGAAATAGCTGAAAAGCCTTACATAAGAAAAAAGCTCTCTTCTCTTGGTAAAACAACACATCCCTCTAATCTAAAAAGGCTGCGTGAGCCACAATGTGGGTATGAAGGCTTGTTTGTATAACTACAATGATCTAGCTGTACCAACGCAAATACCTAGCGTACATGCACCACACTCGTGTAAAAAGTGGCTCGCTATGATGGAGTTTAACCCAAAATGCACCAATCCCAGCCACTGAACATCAAAAGAAACATGCCTACAGTAGGGGGGAGAGGAAGGAAAGGACAGTTAAGTGGTTAGGGCAGTAGCTTAACATTCAGGAGCATTAAGTTCTATTGGACTTCCCAACACGCTACTAATATTATCTTGGGCAAGTCACTAGGTATCTCCCTGCCTCAGTTCCTCATCTGTAAAATAGAGATAACACTATTTTCCCACCTCACAGGTGTTGAGAATAAATATATTAGTGACTGTAAAGAGTTTACACATTACAGTAATGAGGGCTATTTAAGTACCTAACGGTATGTTTACACTGCCACCCTAGTTCGAACTAGGGTGGCTAATGTAGGCATTCAAAGTTGCAAATGAAGCCCGGGATTTAAATATCCCGGGCTTCGTTTGCATCTTGCTGGGCACCGCCATTTTTAAATCCCCCTTAGTGCGGACCACGAGGAGTAACGGTAGTTTGAATTAGAGAGCCTAATTCGAACTACCTACTCCATGCCACGTGTAGCCGTGGGCACAGAGTCCGCACTAAGGGGGATTTAAAAATGGCGGTGCCCAGCAAGATGCAAACGAAGCCCGGGATATTTAAATCCCGGGCTCCATTTGCAACTTCGAATGCCTACATTAGCCACCCTAGTTCAAACTAGGGTGGCAGTGTAGACATACCCTAAGATATACTGAAGAAATGCACAATGTAGACAAGCACTGGAAAGGACCAGTGGATTCTACCAACAGGAGTCAAAGGAACAGAGTAAAACATGACAAATCAGATCACACATTCATAATGGTCTTAGGTGTCTGTTAGAGAAATGAAGACTTGAATCTGATTAGAGACCACTCAGCCAAGGACCTCCTACAACTTCTGTCACTTCAGTGAGAATTGAAGGGGACACAACACTTGACAGGATCAGGCCATAAAATGCTTTTGTCCCAAATCTCTTTCATATGTGGGCTATTCACCTCTCTTCACATACATTTACCTTCCATATATGCCAACCCCACTTACAGATGTCCAGAGAGAAAGAAGAGACTAGACTCCTAAGACTTTGAGGTCCAGAACAGATTAACTGCCATTTCAAGAAACTGTAAATGAAATATTTAATCTAAACCATTATCATTAGAGATAAAGAACACTGAAGGAGGCTTGCCAGAACCATCCCAATTTTATTTTAAAACACAAAACACTACTTACATTTATAATAGGCAAATTGTAAATAATGGTACATGGTTGCCACAAATTTCTCCACAACAAAGCCTCCTATAACCGGTGTCAGGTTACTTTCACACTGCAGCTTGCATTCAAGAACTTCTATGTAGTGATCTAAAGGAAAAACAGAGACAGAACTGCATAGAACACTGCTGTTTCAGAAGTACTCCTGAAGCCAGCTCCTCTGTACACTGCAGCTCCATACTGCTCCCCTGGATTCTGGGCATCAAGGTCCTGATATTCAGAGATCTCGTGCCATCACAATTCCAGCTGAAGTCAATGAGAAGTGTTTGTGCTTAGCACTTCTGGAAATTAGGCCACAGTGATTCAAAGCAAAAGCTCAAAATCGCAGTAAATAGCTATGTTATGTTTTACAGATATCTTTAGGCAGCCTGGAGTGACGTATTTTATATACAGTGATACATATGTCTATTAAACTATTGAAATGGAGCACTACTGTATTTCCACAGGTGAGTTTAAGTGATTTTTAAAGTAGCTGATACCTTTGCGATGTTACTAAATGTATTTGTCTCACTATGTATTTTAGAAATGTGCATCTGTCTGTCTGTGAGTTCATTTGTTCAAGAATTCCACCTAAACAGTAAGCACTAAGCCCACCAAATTTTGTATGCAGCTACCTCTTATCATAACTTAAAGGTCAGGATTTGATTGTGCTAGGACAATGGGATGTGATTGGAATTTGATTGTTTCTCATAAAATGGAAAGGGAGGCGTCTGTCTCAGGCTAGGTCTACACTACAAAGTTTTGGAGCAAAAATGACCGTTTTTGTGCAAAAACTCGTGGAGCGTCCACACCTCAAGCACGTTTTTGCACAAGTAGAATGAAAGAACAGAGAGGTTTTCCCAGTGTAGGTATTCCTCTTTCTACAAGGAATGACTCCTTTTTGCGCAAGAGCTCTTGTGCAAAAAGGTGTGTGTAGATAGGGAAGAAGTGTTTTTTGTGCAAAAAGAGGCAATTGAAAAAAGCACAGATGCCCTGGTGGCCATTCTGTAAATAGCAATCAGAGTGTCCTTTTGAGAGAGCATCCATGCAGTCTGGACGCTCTCTTTCACAAAAGCGCATAGCTTTTTTGATAAGCTTTTATGTGTGGACACGCTCTTGCACAAGAAGTTTTTGCAGAAGATCTCTTCCACAAAAAGCTTCTTGCACAAGAAGCCTGCAGAGTAGAAATAACCTTAGAAATTAACTAGGACTTCAAGTGTTATCACTCCTATTTTCATAAGAGATATGGAATCTCTGAATGCACTGGCTAACACTTTGGTTTTTTCGTCTTACAACATGAGCCAATCAGCAAAAGGATATCTTGGGTTGATATCTGTGTGCAAGTACCCGTAATTCAAGACTCCCAAATATAAAAGTGCTCTTTATAAAACTAAGAACCAATATCCCCACAGTTTCTGTCAAGTATAATTCAACTAGAAAATTTACCCAGCATTCTCGGGTCCTTCATGGCAGGGATCTGGAGGCGTGCGGTAAAGACCCCTTTCAAATTGTCTTCTATAAGCAGGATCTATAAATACTGGTTTAAGAGAATGATCTTGCATCCCTGAACTGATGAAATCTCACAAGGTAGAATACTGAGGGTATGTCTACACTACCCCGCTAGTTCGAACTAGCGGGGTAGTGTAGACATACCCTGAGAGACTGGACAGAGATCCACAATGTTATTTTGAATAACCCTGAGAGACCTATGGAAAATTAGCAGATTACTGCACCTTTGCTATCACACTGAATTTAAAAACTTGGACTCACCATTAATGTATTTCATCTGCTTTGACCTCTCAATAAGTCTAATTTATTTTTCTTAGCTAATAAATCTTTAGTAGTTTACTAGAGAAACTCTGTCAACATTGTCATTAGTGTGACCCAGAGCATCCACTGAGCAGGATTAACCCTCGGGGCTGGAAGTAGCCTAATATGAGGTGATTTTTGGTTTTAATAAGCTTTCATCTCAACGTCTAGTTTGTCTGGGTGGTAAAGACAACTGGAGAATCTAAGGAGATTATCTGTGGCTCCATGGTAAAACAAATATAGTGATCAAGGACTACATGTTTACTATTATACCATCAGTCTGGGGTGACTACCCTCTTTCCTCACAGTCTGAGCTGAGGCTGGCACTCTGAATTGTAAACCATACAAGACAGTGTAGCTGAGGTTCAATAGCAACCAACTAAAATGATCAGTGAGAAATGGGTTTGGATTAATGGCTGAGGTTCAATAGCAACTAAAATGATCAGTGAGAAATGGGTTTGGATTAATATGCTAATAATATAGAGCAATTCTTATTATTTCCTAGGATGCTACTTAGGTATTTAGAAACATCAATACAGCTCACTATATTTTTCTCTATATGAAAACACTTCATTATGGATTTTCCATAATGTATAGAACCTATGCTTTCCAAGGGCAAGTTAGCTACTAGCGTGGCCACCTATAACTCTTCTTTAACATAGGCCCCCAATACGGCATTGGTGGGCCATTGTCCTGTGCAGGTCACCCTCCAAAACAAGGGGAATGAAAAAGCACACACCAAGGACACACATTTGGAAACTAAAATGTGGATTGAAGACTCATTATCCTAGGGTTAAGGTTATGGATGACCACCAACCTGCTATGGAAAGATAAAAATCTTTAAAATCTTTGATCTCCCTGGATCCTTCACAAGCTGCAAGGCAGTCATCATAGGATTTGAAGAAATCAGGAAGTGCCAGCTCCATATCGGAGATGGAGGTTCTCCAATTATCTCCATTGTACGCCCTCACAGCCCTGATAAAAAGAGTATGAAAAACAAGTTAACCTGTGGAAAAAGTAACACCACTGTGGGCTCTAGTGAGGTTAAAAGAAAATGTTACTCTTGAATTATGGGGATTCTCAATTCTTTATTCAAGTAACATGTGGGAATAATAAGAAAGTTTAAGTAAGGGAGATCTTAAGGTATTTACTAGAAAGTGGGGGATGTAATCGTATTTCAGATTGCTGGGAATCTCAGATGATAGGTACTAAGCTTGTGGAACAGAGATTTCAGTGTGACCATGAGCCAGAATCAAATGACCTAATGAGAGTTCTAGGCAATGTTCCCTCTATTTTTTTTCTATCCACGTGTGGAATAAATGTTTGTGTCCTGAGGCAGGTGTGAATATGCATCACCAGTAGAAACACATACGGCTGGCTGTAGGAGCTCTGCTAAATCGGCTGAATCTCTCCTGGGCAGCCACCCAAACACACAGCTATGAGGGAACACTGGTTTTAGGACAGTGATTCCCAACCTTTTTGATACCAGGGACTGGCAAATCCCATTCATAAACTTTTGGCAGACCAGTAACATTCTATTTGCATTTTGCATATTCATTATGCAAATAATAAATATGCAAACATTCAAATAAAATGTTCCCAGTCCATCAAAACCTCAGCCACCAGAGTCCCCCAGTGCCAGCCCTAACCCCTAGAGCCCACCCACCCCTCTACTACACCCCAGCACCAGCCACGGACCCGAGTCCCCTGCACCCAATCCCCCAAGTGCTAGCCTCCCGCTCTCAGAGCCCCCAGTGCCAGCTGCCCACCCCTTAGAATACCCCCACCACCAGACCCCCAGGGCCAACCTCCTGTTTCGAGCCATACAGCACGCAACCCCCCCCAATCTCAGTCCCCAAACCCCAACATTAGCCCTGTCCCCATAGCCCCCCATGCCAGCCCTGCCCACAAAGCCCCCTCCCAGAAGCCCCCAGCACTAGCCCTGCCCCTGGAGCCCTCAGTGCTTATCCCACCTCCCTCACCTAACCCTGCGCTGCCTCTCAGCGGCCAGCTGTGTGCTGCTGCCTGGGTTGCAGCTGCTCTAAGGCTGCCTTCCTGCTGCACAGCAAAGCGCTCTTCCATGGCCGGGAACAGACCCTGCCCCTGCCTTGCCAGTCCTGATGACAGCCCAGCCCCCGACACACGCACAGGATCAGCAGTGTCTGCGGCACAGGCAACAGGGGTAGGCACACACTTCTGGTTAACGGCCTCCCCAGACCGTTAAAAGTTGGGGCCTAGAGTCGCAGGGTCACTCAGCCTGTGTGTGTCTCGGGCTCGCGGCACCCACGCAACAGCTGGGCGGTTCTGATACCCACTGGTGTGAGTCAGGGAGCCCGGCTCCACCCACACAACTCAAAATGGTGCTGCCAACTGTGGTGCCCCTGGGACTTTGGGAAGCAGCCAGACATGTGGTGCAGGCCGGGGCTGGCGGGGGAGACCCTGTGGGGGAAGCTGGGCCCTACCAGAAGGGGGCAGAAATCATGGACATCCAGCACGGCTCTCCAAGGCCTCTAACCTGATCCTCCTCAGTAATATCGATAAAGGCCGGGATGCTCATGGCCGCAAAGGCTCCATTCTCTGGTCCCAAACACGCCACCCACAACGGAAAGGACATGGGGGCAGTCGCCTGCCATGAGGCTGCCGCCAGAGCTGGAACTCACTGGGAGAGGCTGGGAGGAGAATTTTTAGTGTGCGTGCAGGCGCAAACCTTGTAGGGAATGGAGCTCCCCAGTGGGTGGGGCTCATTAGCAGCTGGGGGCATGGCCTGGCAGAATGCTGCAGCCCAGCAGGCAGGGGTTTGCGGCCCACCACCAGTCCATGGACCAGTGTTTGGGAACTGCTGGTCTAGGATATGTCTGTGCTGCAAAGAAAAACCTGCATCACTCTGTCTCAGAGTCCAGGTCCATTCGCGGGGCTCAGGCTAAAAGCTAATAAAAGCAACATGAATTTCAGCTTGGGCTGGAACCTGGGCTCTGAAATGTGACAAAGGGGGAAGGTCTTGGAGGCTCTGCTTTAGCCCAAGTGGGACCAACTACACTGCTATGTTTATCCCTGCAGCCCATGCCCAAGTAAATTTACCTGGGCTCAGTACTACGGGTTGTCTTTGCACTGTAGATGTATTCCTAGTTGTTTTAGGCCCTAATCCTGCACTTACACACCTGAACAACTTGGCATACTTATTTAGTCCTGTTGAGTTCACTACTCATATGCACAAAATTACTCGTGTGGTTAAATCTTAGTAGGATCTGACCCTCAGGTTGCACATATATAAAGGCTGCTAGGACTTCATGGTTTACTGTAAACTAAGTGGATGACATATCCACAGGAATAAAGTTCCATGTCAAAAGGAACAAGCTTTCACACTGATGTGCAAGTGGTATAGCTACATTTATTGTAATGAGGTGAGAGAGAGAAAGAGATCTTGAGATGAATTATAGGAAGGGATTTGTTACAGGAGAAAGAAGATTTTTGGCAGATGAGAAAAAGGAGACTGCCACAGGCACAAAAGGTAACATAACAGGATTTAACAGAGAATTGCAAACAAGTAAGAAGATGAGAGGGAATGGAATGGAAGGCAAGATAAGAGTTGAGAGCAAGATTATACAGAAGAATGAAAATCTTTAATCTAATGCATTGAGAAAGTCAATGCAGGTATACAATGAGAGCAGACTGCAGGTAGAGAACTTACCTCATATGACTTTGTCTCCAAGTCTTTTATATGCTCCTCGGCATCAGGCATGCTCTTGTAATAAGCCATATTCCTCTGCATCATCTCATCATTTGGGTGCTTCAGCAGAAATGTGTGAGCTGCTGCAATGGCTTTTGGAAGATTATTAGCCTAAGCAAGGAGGAGAACAAACTTACTGGAAAAGCTGCTTTTCTAAGTTATCTGATTTTTGTCAGCCAGCTTTCCTTACATCTTATTGTATATATACTTGTTGTCACTTGGTAGAACTGATAAATGACCTCTGGGGACTTTTCACTCTGCATGCAAAGCAATATAACTCCATAATCAGGATGTCCATGTAAGGCTACAGCTACACTATGAATTTTTTCCAGAAGAGGAAATTTTTCTGAGGAAAAAGGGATCTTGCACAAAAGAGGGTTTTTGCACAAAAAGGTGCCATCTACACAGCACTTTTTTGCGCAAAAACCTCTTCCGCAAAAAGGACCAGAAGAGAATATGCAAATGAGAATATGAAATATGCAAATGAGCATACCATTTGCATTTCCTCTTCTGGAAAATATTCGTAGTGTAGCCATAGTCTGTCAGACCAGGTAAAGGAACCAAAGTGTAGATTTAGTGGTGAACACCCAACAAAAAGAACTGTTATTTAAATAAAGAGAAGCAAATTTAACTCTGTAATAAGCAGAATAAAACACACTTAAACACTATTTTCTTTGCAGATTTGAAGAGGAATTGCCTCCAATATTCTTTTTCAACAAAACTGTGTGGTGTGGTGTAGGGATGTGGAGGTTTAACTGATTAACTAGTAATTCTTACCCATCATGGGTTTTTCTCCCCAAACTAATAATAAGCAAAGATCCTGGCCAACACAGTCCAGTGGGCTCTTCAGAATGCATTTAGTAGCTTATGCAAATATAATTATAATCAGGGCTCACCAAGTGGCGGCGAGCCCCGCTTGCCAGCCGCGTAGATCGCTCTGCACCGGCTCTTGTGGGTTGTAATCTACTCACCATGGGTGAGTAGATTACATTATTTGTCGAGCCCTGTTTATAATACTTACTAGAAGATTTACCAGGCATTGCTCAGATCCTTAACTCAATTAATTTTTTTTTTTGGGGGGGAAAATAAAACAAAAATGTACATGCTTGGGGGGGAAAATAAAACGAAAATGTACATGCTTCATTTAAATCATTGCTGCGAGGTGGGGCTGGAGATGAGGGTTCAGTACGAATGCTTTCCCCAGGCAGAGCATTACCCCAGCTCCCTCTCACTGCAGCAGAGCCAGGTGAGAAGCACCTCTCTATGGGCACCTCTACACTGCAGGTCAAAAGTTGAATTAAAATATGCAGCTTCAGATACATCAACTGAGTAGCTGAAGTCGAAATAGCTTAATTTGGCTTTTGGCGCTGTCTACACAGCAGGAAGTCAAAGGAAGAACACTCTTCCTTCGACTTCTCTTACTCTTGAAATGAGGGTTATGGGAGTCAAAATAAGGGCTTGCTGTGTAGATGTGCACTATGGCTATTGCAGTTCCAGTGGGCATAGCCAGGGGAAAGGTACACATACCTCCCCTCCGGGAAGAGGTCCAGGTTTGTCTGCCCCCTGTGCTAAACATGGTAGAGTAAGGAATGCAGCAAACTTTCAACTTTCCTCTTGCTCCCTGACAAAGGGGAACAGCCAGAAATATCCCCACATGAATCAGTGTGGGAAAGGGGGAGGGAAAGGGGGTAGGAAACAGTGAACAACAGCCAGTCTGAGCTGCGAGGCTCAGAGTTGACAGACACTGTAGGTAAATAAAGCAGCATGGGCCCATCAGCAGCTTACTTGGGTTGACCCAATTTGGGAACCACTGCTCTAATATATAAATATCCCAAAACAAACATGTACAAAACTCCAATATTTTTGCTTATAGAACTAAACATTTAATTCACACTGGTTAAAATAAGAGGATAAAGAGCACAAAACAGCCAGTCCCACCCTTAAGTATATCCTAGCTTCTGTGAAGCGACAACTGTCAAGTAGCTGGAATGTTATCAATAGCCTTCTTCACATATTGTGTGTGTGTAATAAGACCAGGCAGAGCAAATGCCAAGAATAAACTTAGCTGCACTTTCGTCAAATGTCCAGTTATGCTTCCTGTCTTTTACTTTACTCTTCAAACCTGTTTGCTGGTTTGGTTGATATTTATTTCTCTTTTCTTAGTCTATAATTTGTTTTTGATCTCAGTGTACCACATTTAAAAGAGTTGTACGCCTACTGAAGAAAGTAAACTCAGCAGAAATGAGAAAAACAAACCATGTCTTTCAAAGGAGCACATGCAGGAATAAGAATGTCTGCTTCCAGGATCTAAGACGTGGCAAAGTTTCTCTTCTACACACACATGAATAAATACTAAGTGACCTGAAAATTTTCATCCAAAGTTTCCCCAACAGTGGTGTTATAGAGAAAATAAAAGAAACATTCCTTCCTTAACAAAACCCTTCAGCTAAGAAACCGTTTGTTGGGCCTGAAGTGATTTATAGTTGTAAGACTCCTAGAACGCATAAGCCATGTAACGCTCTTACAGCTGATGACTGAATCAAAAAACAAATTAGAATACATTCTTCAAATGATTTCTCACATACTTTTGTTGCTGAAGTTAAGGCACTGATATGTTCCCTAGGAATTTACTGAATACTTTATATAAAAACATTTTATGTCCCAGGCATGCTTGCTATCGTGATCACAAGTAACTTTATAAAGACTGCATACTCTGTAAAGCAAATGGGTGGTGAAGGCAAGTGTGGATTGGGGCAGGTGAATAAATTAGAACTGGTATGGTCAGGTATATATTGATTTGGGAATTAGAAGAGTGAGTATGTACTACTAACTCACTTTTGAAAAGATGTATTTGATGCCTCATGTCCTGCAACTTGTATCTTATAAAGGACTTACTAAGGCCTTATATTAGGGATGTGAAAGTGTAACCCTGTAAACAGTTAACTAATGAGCATGGTTATATGCAGGCTCCCCTCACGGCATGCACCGGCTCCTGAGGAGCTGCCTGCTGCCCTGCGCTGCTGCCTCTGATATTGAGGCAGCAGCATGGGGCTGCAATGGGGAGCTGGTATAATAGCAGCATAAGTCTCTCACTGAAGCTGGGCCAGCTGAAAAGTGCCTCTCTATGGCTGCTGCAGCTCCAGTTACACTGCTATAGCTGCCCCCACCACACAATGGGCAGCTCATCAGGGGTTGAATGTGATCCCCAGGAAATGTGAAATGGCCACATCTTGCCCAACACAGGGCAAAATGTGAATGTCCCAGCTCTCACTGTATTCAGCAAAGACAATGAGAGCCTGGAAAGTTGCTTGTCTGCCCCCTTTGGGTTCAGCACCAGGCCTGAGCCTGCTGTATTGCCTAGCTTGAGTTGAGGGGACACCAGGGACATGTACAAGAGGGTGGGAAATCACAAATTTTGCATGAAAAATAAAAAATCGGCAAGGAACATGAGTTCTGCACAAGTTCTGCGTGTGTAGTGGCACAGAATTCCAGCAACAATACAATGGGGCAGTTGGGGAGAGAAGAGCTGAGTGGTGTAAGGCAGGCACATAGGTCAGATGACTTGGAGAAGAGTGAGGGAACACAGTGTTGTGATGAGAGCTGGTATATATTATAGGGACATGAGATGGGAGCATAAGGAAGGAGTGGGCTGCAGGACTTGGGGGTGAGATGACACAGGGAAGGCAGAGAGTGGGGCAATGGGCAGGCTGGCTGGGGGAGCCAATGGGAAAGATAACATGTAGGTGGGGTAGTGAGACATGGAGCAGGAGAACCTGTGGGAGAAGATAATTGTGGGGATTAGGGTGGGATAATCTGATGGGAGACGGGGGAAAACATATGAGAGGACTATAATATTTGAAGTTTACTTAGCCTGGGAAGGCATTGTGAATTAGAATGGGATGACCTGGGTGAAGGCCACGAAGAAAGAGATGATGCAATAGACTGTAGGAAGGGATGTCCTGGCAAAGGCAGTTTACTAAGGCTGGGGTGTAATAAGTAGGATAAAGGGTATATATTGTAAATTGGGGTGTACAAAAAGCCTGTAGGATATATGTGGGGAGATAATGGATAGGTGGTGCGCTATTACCTTGAAGAAGGTGATTGGATGAGGGGAACAGGACAGGCAATAGGGAGGAAGCAACCCAAATAGAGAGAGGTGGGAGTGGCACAATGAGGTGTACGATGAAGTGGCTGGAAATCCTGGAGGAAGGAATATATGGGGGAGGGAGGTGCAGCATTATACTGAAATTAAGGATGTTAAATATCAATTTACACGGTGAGTAGTTGATGGAATTTTGATAGGCACTTCTGCATTCCTCCTTTCTGGGGCTCTTGTACATTTCAAAGGAGGAAGGCGGAACTCCACGTACAGCCTGGGGCCAACAGGAAGTCCCGCTGACTCCGGACTGCTGGTGGCGTGCCAGCTTTGAAACGTACAAGAGTCCCCAAAGCAGTTTCAAAGCAGAAGCTCCCTCCTGGTGCCTGGAGTCAGCAGGGGACTCAGAGTCTCTGGCTAACCCCAGGCTCCATACTGTGCAGACACTTTGAAATGCCACGCGGAGCCCAGGGACTCCCCAGCTGATCCCAGGCTCCGTGCAGTATTTCCCCAGAACCCGGGATCAGCTGGGGACACCCCAGATGACCCCAAGCTCTGCGTGCTGCGCTGGAACTCGGACTCAGCTGGGGAATTCCCAGCTGACCCCAGGCTCCACACAAACACCGCAGTGGCATTTCAAAGGGGCAGTGCCACACAGAGCCTGGGCTCAGCTGTGCGGTGCTGCCCCTTTAAAGTGTCGCTGGGGTGTTTCAAAGGGTCAGTGCTGAATGAAACCCGGGATCAGCTCTGTGCAGCACTGCTTTGAAAGCAGGAGCCCTGGATCAGCTGTGCAGTGCTGCTGCTTTGAAGTACTCCCTCCTCCTCCCCTCCCCCGCTTTGCTGCCTCTGATAGAGGCAGTGGGGAGGCAGGGATAGACTAGTTGAGTCAACTATCCAATAAGCAGGGCTCGACAAACAATGTAATATACTTGCCCGTGGCGAGTAGATTACACCCTGGAAGAGCCAGCGCAGAGCGACGATCTGCACATGCGCAGAGCGTAGAACTGCGTGGCTGGCAAGCAGGGCTGGCCGCCG